TATTGAGAAAGGAATAATTTTTTTTTAAAAAAAAATTTCGTGAGTTATTCATGTTTTAAAAACAAAAAATATATTTCATATACAAAATATTTGGAGAGTTTTTATATTGTACCACGTAGTTACGTTGCTCAACTGCCACGCGGTTTCAAGATCGGTAAAACCACCAAGCAAATACTTTTATAATAATTATAATATAATTGATTAATCAAAATATATAAAAATTAAAATAATTAATAAAATATTTACTTATTCTCTCAAGCTTAATAAATATTTATTTTCTCTAACCTTTACATCTTTATTAATTTTTAACTATTTATCTTATTTTTTATTAAAAATATATAAAAATAAAAAATAATTAATAAAATAATATATTTTCTCATTTTTCAATTTCAAATGCATATATTATTTTTAGAATAATGTTAATAATTTCAATAAGTATTACTTAAGAAAAAAGAAGTTTTTCAAAACTATAATTAATAAAATCTTATTTAAAATTGACAATGTTTCAAGAAAAAGTAAATAAATTAATTATATTATCAATTGAAAAAAAATATTAAATTAACTTAGTTATAAAAATTTAATTAAAAATTTTACATCTTAAAAAGTTAAAAGAAAATTATAATAAAGAAATCTTATTTAAATATTTTATTTTTAATCTTTAAAATTATTGAGCCTATTACGTGGTTTTTAATTTGAAAGGTCTACGGCATAGCTTTCAATCTTCTTTGTTTTGTCTAATAAGATCCAAATTATAGAAGTTAAAAAAAAAACTATTTTATTGCACATGCATAGTATATAAAGGCAAAGTATCAATTCTGAAAAACAACAAAAAGTGAGTGAGTAAATCTATCACCATCAAATTTAAAATATCTATCATTGAATAAAATATTTATTTTTAATAAATTTATTTTAACAAAAAATGTTCTCAAATGATGAGAAAATAAAAAATTTGATGACAATAAACTTAAATTAAAAAAGTAATATAAAGAGTATTTATATCTTAATATTTTTATATAGTATTAAGTTTAATTTTGTTTACTGTTAGACTAACAATGTTAACAGTTCAAAAGTCAAAAATATCATTTTGAAAAAAGAAGAATTAAAGTATCTTTTTGAAATATTTTGAGAAAATATTGTTGAATTCGCCCCAACCTTTTTAGTGTCTTTACATGTTTAGACTTGAGGAACACTTCAAACAAGGTTATTTCATCAAGGCAAACATGGAATGATCACATGTTTCTAAATTTGAAACCAGTATGTCCCCATGTCTCACAAGATGCCAAGTTTAAAATGACAAAAAGATGGACAAACTAGTAATGCAATTCATGTGAAAATGGATAGAAACACCATGTATCTGACAGTCCAAAATTCATAAGCATTGCTGTGGCAAGGAAGAAGATGAAGAAGAAAGGATGTAGCAGATTCTAGTAAGTACCAATCTCTGCCATGTCTTGAGTGAAACCCAAAGGTTGCAAGCAGTCACATTTGAACAGACAAGCTAAGCTTTATGATTTCGAAGAAGCAAGCCTTTCACAGTTAATAATGAATCATGGTGCAGAAATTTCTTCCTTGAGCAATGCAAGTTGTAATACAAGATGACACAGTTCCTCATTAGAACCACCAAGGGAGCCCAAGATGTTGCTGAGCGCCAGATTGTAAAAGCTGGAAAATTGTACAATTCCAAGCTATAAAATGTAAGGCTATTTTTGAAAATTGACAAAGCAGAATAATTGTGGGAGAAAGTCCACCTCATCATAATTATGCATAGAATTTTCTTGCCTTCGAGGTTGATCAGAATCTCCAAATATGTATGGCACGTTAAAGTTTGCATGATGGTCCACTAATCGGGCGAGGATCTTGTGCCTCCATCCTTCAACCAGTTGAGGAAAAGTCAGAACTATTCCAGCACCACCTGGCAACAATTGCTCCAAACTTGTGATAGTCCACTGCATGAATCAGATACAATTTACTATCCAAAGATTTACCCATGAAAATAGTTGAGGAAAAGCCATATATATTTTCAGTGAAACAACATAAAATAAAAACACAATGGTTGGTCTGCATAGTTTAATTGTTTTCAAGTTGTCAGATTCAAGTTGGTTCACTGCCAGAACATCAACCATGAATGAAGAGAAAACAGGTGTTTAAATTACTTAAAGAGTATTGAAAAATTTTCAACTTGTTTGACATAGCATACAAAACACTTCTATTGTCCATACATTTAAAATCATCCTGGTAGAATAATATAACATTAATATTGTGATGATTCCAATCATTGCGATTTCATATATTTTTGGCAAAAACAGTTTCCTAAACAGTCAATTCATATCCTTCAAATCATTTGGAAAGCAAAAAGGAAACCATCCAATAAAACTAACATCCACACCAATATGGTAGTATATTACTCATGAAATAGCCAGCCAGGTGCCCTATCCAGTAAACTTGAGAAAGGAAAAGTAGCGGATTCTGTCCCAGATAAGAACAGAATGTTCAGTTCAAACAATTTCTTGGCATCTTGACTTGAATCACTCAAGTCAAAACTCTAAATACCTTGTCCATGGAGAGCTTAACAGGCCAATAAAGATGATGAAAAGTAAGTTCTTCAAGCCAGCTGGCTTGCTGATGTTACTTTTTACCCAATGTAATAAGAATTATGTCATCGAATATGCTTCTTGTTTTAATCCTGAAGGAAAGGAGATTGTGCCTGAAAATAACAAAGAAGCACATCAGGAACATAACAAAGCAAAATGTTCCTACTTTTCCTACAATGCCAAAAGAAAAAAAATCAAATCGCTCTTACATTCAGTTAGTCATTATAAACAGCTCTGAATTAAATTTGGAGCAGTCAACTACTATGTGCATTCTTCCAATCAGCAACATGAGGGATCTATCCAACTGTATGCTGCTTGCTTCCTTATTTTGTTTATTTCCATCATTTCTCTAACTTCTACAGCATCATCCCACTGTCCTTTGTCAGCGTACATATTGTAAAGCAATATATATGGGGCTGAGCTTTCGGGTTCCAGACTCATCAATGCTTCAGCAGCAACTCGAGCCAACTCTACATTGTTATGCACCCTACAAGCACCTAGTAATGCACCCCACACTGCCTTATCTGGCTCAAATGGCATACTCTTGATCAAATCCATGGCTTCCTCAAGTTGCCCATGCCGACCAACATTGTCTACAAGGGAAGCATAATGTTCAACCCTGGGCTCAATGCCATATTCATTAACCATGGACTTAAAATATGCCCGACCTTCACCAACTAATCCTGCATGGGCACATGCACTTAAAACAGAAATAAATGTTATATATGTTGGCTGAACCTTATTCCTCTTCATCAATTTAAAGAGTTCCAAAGCCTCTATAGCAAAACCATGTGATGCATAGCCGCCGATCATTGCATTCCAAGAGATTACATCTTTTGGTGATTTCATCTTATCAAAAATGGTCCGTGACTCAATTATTGCCCCGCATCTTGAATACATTGTAATTAGGGAGTTCTTTATAGGTACATCTGGAATTACTGTCTTTGACACCAGCTGATGAATCTGCATACCTAAGTGCAGATCCACAAGCCCAGTAGACACGCTGAGGACTGAAGAAAAAGTATGTTTATCAGGTTTCTCTCCTTCAGCTTGCATCTGAATGAAAAGCTTAATTGCTCCTTTGTAATCCTCATTTTTCTCATACCCTGCTATTATGGAGTTCCATGAAACTAAATGCTTCTGGGGCATCTTCTCAAATAAATCACGAGCAAGTTCTAACCTACCCAGCTGAGAAAACCCTGAGATCATTGAATTCCAAGATAGGCTATCAGGCCTTGGCATTGTATTAAACAGATTTGAGGCCTCCTCCATATCTGACATCTGAACATAGCCATTAATCATGGTGTTCCAAGAAATTGTATCTCTTTCCACCATTTGGTCAAAGAGCTCCCTAGCAGAAACAATATCTCCTGCCTTCACATAACACATTATCATTGAATTCCATGACACCGCATTTCTTTCAAACTCCCCATTTCTCCCTTCCTTTTGAACACGGTTATATGGGATTTGATCAAAAAGTCTCCGAGCATCATCTACCCTTCCCTTCTGACCATACCCCGCAATCAAAGTATTACAAGCTTGAACCAAACCTTCCCTCCAACCGCCTCTATTTCCACATTCAATCAAAACACTGGCAGCTTCATCCAAATCCCCGTTCTGAACTAAACCAGACACAAATGCACTAACGGAAGCAGAATCCCGTTCAGGCATCCTCTCAAAATACTCAGTAGCACTTACAGTATCACCATTACGAAAAAACCCAGTAATCATAGCATTCCAAGAAACCACATTCCTTTCAGGCATACTCTCAAAAAGCCTTATAGCTTCATCCATCCTTCCATTCTTGGCATACCCACTAATCATCGTATTCCACGAAACGAAATCTTTCCCGGGCATTTGATCAAACAACTTTTTCCCTTCGTCAAGAAAACTGTCCCCCAAACACGAAGCGTAACCCGAAATGATCAAGTTCCATGACACGATATCTCTCTCAGGCATTTCATCGAAAAGCTTTCGCGCCTTGGCAATTTCTCTTCGTTTGACATAACCACTTATCATTGAATTCCACGTCACCGTATCTCTTTGCGGCATTTGATCAAACACGGATTTCGCTTCGTTAAGTTTGCCGGTTCTTATCAAATGGGAAAGCCTCTTGTTCATTGTATATGAGTCCGTGGCATTAGAAGAAGCTGCCTTGGATCTTAAACTGGACGCGAAACGAAATGACCCGGGGAGTGACCGCCGCAGAGCCATGATTCTAAAGGCCGAAACGGCGACGTGGAATCTCCCCATTTCCGTTACTAGCTGCAGCCTGCAGGTGAATGGTGATCATCGGACAAGCATTTGTAAAAGAACACTCGTTGAGTCTAGCGTGGCAAGTCGACGTGTCAATCCTGTTCTTTTATTTTCTTTTTCTCTTTATTTTTCAATAGAACGACACCGTTGTTATATGTTACGAGACAAACACTTCGGGGAGAGGATCAGATGATAGGAAGCTTAACTCTAACTATTCCACCGCCATGGAACCACCGCCACCTCCGCCCAACTCCACCATCAATCAAATGTGAAAGTGGAGGAGTACCACTAACAAAGCAAGGTCACCGCTTCTTCTCTTCACTGGCTGCAACCGCCGACGTTAACGACCCCGCAACCGCTAACCGGTTGATAAAGAAATTCGTAGCATCATCGCCCAAGTCCATTGCTTTGAACGCGCTCTCTCATCTTCTCTCTCCCCGCAATTCTCACCCTCAACTCTCCGCTCTCGCCTTCCCCGTAAGTCCTCTCTCTCTCTCGCATATGTTATTCCACGTCAGCACGTGTCACTTCTATTTAAAATTCAGACATGTCGCCGTGTTCTGTTTTACAGTTGTACACTAAGATAAGTGAAACATCATGGTACAATTGGAACCCAAAGGTAGTTGCAGAGTTGATTGCTTTGTTAGCTAAACAAGGGAGGTACGATGAATCTGAAGCTTTAATTTCTCAAGCTGTTTCAAAACTCAAGTTTCGAGAGCGGGATCTTGTTCAATTTTTTTGCAATTGGATCGAATCTTGTTCCAAACATAACTCCAAGGAAGGGTTTAACGATGCTTACCTTTACTTGTCTGAACTTACTTGTAACTCTTCATCTGTGTATATCAAACGCCGAGGTTATAAATCAATGGTGAATAGCTTATGTGAAATGGATCGGCCTAATGAAGCTGAGAATTTGGTTGACGAGATGAGAAAAAATGGGCTTAAGCCTACATTGTTTGAGTTCAGGTTTATTTCATATGGGTATGGGAAGTTGGGACTTTTCGAAGATATGGAGAGAATGGTGTGTGAAATGGAGATTGAAGGTTTTCAAGTGGACACAATTTGTTCAAACATGGTCCTTTCATCCTATGGGGCTTACAATGCATTTTCCAAGATGGTTCCTTGGCTTCAAAAAATGAAGACTTTGCAGATTCCTTTCTCAATCAGGACTTATAATTCTGTCTTGAATTCCTGTCCTGAGCTCATGTCACTGGTACAAGGCTTGGATAGTGTTCCACTTTCACTCGGGGAGTTGGTTAAGATTCTGAATGAGGATGAAGCATTGCTGGTACAAGAGTTAGTTAAATCCTCTTCAGTGTTGGATGAAGCAATGGAATGGAATGGAACAGAGGGAAAGTTGGACTTGCATGGCATGCACCTTGGTTCAGCTTACTTGATAATGCTGCAGTGGATTGAGGAGATGAAATGCAGGTTTAAAGTTGAAGAATGTGTGATTCCAGCACAAATTACGATTGTTTGTGGATCTGGAAAGCACAGTAGTGTTAGGGGTGAATCGCCAGTGAAAACCCTGATGAGAAAAATGATAGTTAAAATGAAAAGTCCAATGAAAATTGATAGGAAAAACATTGGTTGTTTTATAGCAAAAGGGCAAGTTGTGAAGAATTGGTTAATACCTGATGGTGAAGGAGAATGATTCATTAACAGATTCGAGTTAAAATATTTGATGGAACTGAAATCTGCAAGTGCCTCAGCTGAATGTGGCATGCAACTGCACCTCGCTTAGCTCAAACATCTTTATGGAGGGTATGAAGATTAGAAGAATCCCATGGAATACAGGCAGGGTAGGCCTGTCCTGACCTCTTGGACGGTACTATGTCTTTTGGGATAACTAATTGTCTGATGTCGATCTTAGATTCTGATCATGCCTGGCAAACAAGGGTAGATAAATGCTAGTTTTAGCCAACCTGACCCCAACAATAACCTGTTGATCCGAGAACAAGAGAAAAGACCACTGTTCACTATTTTGAAATGGATTCCTTTGGCAATAAAACTCTCATTTATGACCTGAGAACAAGAAAGAATATGAGTCCTTTCTGCTTTTTTTTTATTTTTATCTTACTGATGCTGGTTTGGGTTAGTTTGTGGCACTCTTGGGTTTATATCAGAGATCATGAATTATGGCCTGAATTCCAACAAAAATTTGATCGACCAATTTGCATTTTTCTACCTAAAATGAGAAACAATTATAACTCCCACAGTGAGTGTGTTACTAGTTTCATTTAAATCTTACAACAATCAAAACTTTCCAAGATATATACAAGTTTGCTAGATATATACAAGTTTCTAAAACCATGGCATCCACCATATATACATCTTTCCAAGGTTCTTGTGAGAGACGGCCTCTGCAATCAAACGACGAGCCTGACCCTCTACAGCTAGAGGTAGAGATGGTGCTGCTGCAACACCAACAACCACCCCTTGCAACCTTGCCTCGATATTACTTATGGCCCGCTGCAATACCCAAAGACATGCTTCAGTTGTGAGGTTACAATGTATTTCATTATATCATGAACTAAACCCTTTTTTTATCACGACAAGAAGAACTAGTTTACAACAAAGGACAAAAGGAGAAAATAAATTATCAAACCTGTGCATGTGGGTTCTGAACTTCTACTCCACTTGATTTGTGGGATTTTGTCCACTCCACAAGAGGATCATGAATGAAAGTTTCAAGAACACTCATCAAGGTCTCCCTATGTGTCCTCAGAACTGAAAGTGTTATTTCACAAATCCGCAAAAAGATGCCTTCATATCCAGTGATGCCCAATCCATCAATCATGTTCTATGTGTTCCATATATATATAAAGAAAAAAAACCCAGGTTTCAGAAGCTTGCAATTTGAAAATACTATCAATGTGCTACTATATTCTGTAATATAGAGATCAGGAATAAGACTAAGAAGATTGTTATTCAACAATTTCAAAGAAAATCACATTTATTTTTAATTTTATGCAGAAAAAAGTTGGGGCATTTTTGAGAAAAAAAAAACAAATTATATTTCTTAAATATCTTGTTCCTGAAGGAAATAGAGCATAATTCAGCTCTCGTCAACAAATTCACAGAATCCAGTGACAGTGCAAAGTACATGTATTCTTACCTGGGTCAGCCTGAAAGGGACCAGCTCAGGCTTCTCCAACTGCAACCCCTTATCAAATAAGCAACTGAAATCCACGTGAACACAGTCACCTGTTGTAGAATCAAAAAGAATGTTCTCACCATGTCTGTCACCCAGCCCCACAATATGCCCAACCATGGACCAAACAGCTGTTGTGTGAGCATAAGCAATTCGAGCCCTAAACCAAGCTGCAGGCTCTGAAAAAGTAGTTAAAAACCATTGATGGAAAACTGGTGGGAACATCGGAAGAATCTTGTCCTTCAACATCTCATCTTCTGGTATTTTACCCTGGCATTGATCATAAATCCGTTTAATTTGAGGATTTGTCTTCTGCCTGTCAAATTTGCCACATGTGATATAAATATCTTGAAGAATATGCCGGAGTCCCCGAGTATGGGGCACCCATTCCACCATACCACAGTCCTCTGTAAGAGGAATCACTGCAAAGGTACGAATGTATAGCTTCCTCCTACGGCTCTCAGGGTACTTTGACAATAAGCAGTTTATCATTGCAGTGAACTCCATCATGCGGGCATCTTTCCTTAGGTCATCTTTGGGTTTGCAGAGGAATGGACGTTCAATGCCATCACTGCCCAATAAAACAATCTGAAAATACAAGAAATGGCATCAAGGTTACAAAGCTGATACGCACCTTTTCCTATTTGGATTCATCAGACAGTGAACTGAGGAAATGTTATAGAGATAACACCCACAAATAAATTATATAACTCTAAAAGATTTATGTAAATTGCAACTTAAAACACATAACTATCTAGTTCGTAGGTCTATCTAACAGAAAGTATTGAATTTAGACCAAAATAAACACATATGTAAGGAAAAGGGATGAAATGGGCCACATCAGCATTTCAAACTCAATATATAAAATCCTCCCGCTGTACAAACTTAGGTCAATCTAACTTAAAAATTTTAATGCTTTCTCAGACCATTATATGTAGGCTCTAGACACAGTTATTGCATGACATAAAAAGTGATCGGTGAGCCAGGTAAACTAAACAAGTAGAAGGAAGTATATTAAAGAACTTTTTCCCTTGTTTAGAAAATCAGAAAGCCTGAATTACATACTTTCTTAGGTCGCTGAAGAGATGAAAGAATCTCAGCCTCATCAGCTATTCCAGATATTGTAGGAAGCTCCACACCAGAGAAGATATCAGAAAAAAGAGATTCAGTGAGATTCACATCATAGGTTGGCAGACTGACAGTAAGAGATTGTTGAATTGGCATGATAATTCCCAGAGGCATCATCCTTTTCAATGCACTGAATTCAGTTGAGATATTAATAGTTCTCGATTTTGGCTGGCCCGCATGGAAACACAGCTTAATAAGATGATCAATCAGACTAGCAAACTGTACAAACAAATTGTTGCCACTATTTCCTTGGCTAAACCCTTTACGCGCAGCTTGAATGATTTCTGCAGCTGCTTCCCGCCTGGAAGGAACTGTGGACTTTGAAACTGCTGCCATAATCCACAGTGATTGCTGTGGATATTGCCTGACAACAGAGATGATGATGCTTTTGACCAACTTAACAATTTCTTCATTTTGGTGGCAAATTCTAGAAACCAGCTGAGGCAACACAGTTAACCATTGATAGGCTGGCAAATCCTTTAAACAGCCCCGCATTATACTAATTACCTTTCGAAAGATGAATCAAGAAAACAGTGTTAATTACTAAGGAATAATAAAAAAGTGTCACCAATATCATAAGAAATAAAAGATGAAGTTCATACCAAAGTGTTGTACCTACCTTTCCTTGGACATTTTTCAAATCCTTATTAGAGGTTGCTGCACTCCGCTGATAAATGCTCCCAAAGTCAAACCACAGGGTTAACAACCTTGGAAGTGCTTGAAAAAGATTCTTGTGACCACGATGAAGCCCCTTTGCATAGAATAACAGTACATCAGGTAGGTAAGACCACCATTGTTTCTCAGTTTTTGAGTTTGAAGAAGCAGCAATAGCAGAAGCTGAGGGAATTATCCTGGGACTCGGCTCAAAATTCTCTTCTTGACGTTTCCTGGCATCAACAAGTACTTCATCACAATATTTAGCCACATAAAAGTATCCTTTCTCCCACTTGGGTTGCAGTTCCCTCACCCTGGAATAAAGACTTATCACATCCTCCTTCTGTTTCTGCCCAGTGTAATGAATCCACCGAGAATATAGCAGGAGGGTCTTTGCTATCTCTTGGTTCTCATTCATAGCCTGAGTATCACAAGGTAAAGGTTGTGGGTTTAGTGGAACCAATGAAAGGGTAGTAATTGATGATATTGCTGCAGAGCCTACAACCTCCACTGGCATGTTCAGGAGAGACTGCTGCAACTCAGCTATCGCACCATCAGAGCGCCTAGTACTCCAAAGAAGCTTAGCCTTTTCCATGTGAACATTAGGTGCACCAGAAGCCTGTGCCTCTAGAATTGCTTGATTGGCTGTTTCATAATGACCAGCCAAACGACAAAGCTTTGCATATTGAAGCCAGCAATTCCCAACTTGAGCACCAAGGCTACTGGCACCAAAAACCAGTCTCCTGAAAGCCAACAATGGCTCCCTTGCCCAGAGTGATGGTTGTGTAAATCTGAGTCGATTTTCCCAGTTCTCCATGACTTTTGAGAATCCACAATCACCTAGATGGAATGATTTCGCCAAGAAAGATTCATCAATGAGAAGTGTATGGAAGTCCTCTAGCTCCCGTAGCAGGTGAAGTTTCACAATAATTGGATAAGCCCGTGTGTAGGAATCCATGCCTGCAGCAGCCAGAGGAGCAATAAGAGCTTGTTTGGATAGTGCAATTTTCTCAGCAACTGAGAACTGATCCTTCTTCATCATCGCCTGCAGAATCTTTGCCACATCCAGGTCGAAAGAAGCATTACTTTCAGAGCTGCTGCATAGTAAGCCCTCTTCATCTGCCCCAGTAAGGTACTCATTCATCAGGTCCCACCTTCCAAGCCTCCATGCAGCCTGCACACCTTGCATGCACCATGTTTTCTTGTATTTGGGTATTCTAGAAATCAGGCCATCCACATGAGTAACCATGGCCTGAAGATGGCACATGTTTAATAAACAGTTAAGAACGTCAGAATGCCTCTGAACAGAGGTGGGTTCCATCTGCAAGGCCTGCTCACAAGCAGTCAAAACCTCTGCCCAGTTTCCAGCCTTCTTGTTTATTAAGAGCTGATCTTGTAAACTTAGTGATTTACGTAAGCATGCTAAGCCTGACAATCCATCAGGTTCATCCAGACAGCTGTATATTTCCATTAGATAAGAGATATCTTCATCCTTGAATATTCCACTCATCTCAGCTGCCGGATTAAAGGAACCTGATTTTCCTTGCACATAAGATTCAAAGTACATTAAAGACCTTGCATAAGCCTGACACCTGAAGGAAGCCCTAGCAAGGGTAACCTTTGGAATCGCACTTAAAAGCTCAGACACATATTTACACTGTACAAGGAGTTGATCTTGACTTGCAGATAAAGCCGAACTTTGATCCTTTGACTTGGATGCCTGTTGCCTTGACGCTGATGATTGATAAGACTGGGAAAGAGCAAGTTCTTGTTTAACATCATCCACCCACTGGCCAAGATTATCAAGAAGAGTGAATACTGCTTGAATGCAAACTTCACTCTGTCCACCACTGACTCCATAAACTGCAGCCCCACTGTTCTCTGAAGCTGCAGCATTAAGAACTGATTGGATTTCTTCCGTAATACCATGGCGTCCCTCCTCCGTGCCATGACAGACAACATTGAGGACTAAATATGGCAATAGATATATTGCTGTTTGCATATCATGACGAACTATACCTCGACAAGCATTAAAAATGCTCGCACGAGACCCAATTGCATGTGCAGTCAGCTTCTTTATCCAAGAAAAAATCCACCTTCTGAACGACATAGAAGGCC